ACACACACACACACACACACACACACACACACACACACACACACACATACACACTTGCAGAGGCCAAACTAAAAGAAAAAAAAAAGGGCAGGGCCAGGAAAAAGCATGCCATTAATTGAATTAATACCTTTATAAGTTAATTACTTGTAAAATATGGTACCCATTATAAAATGAATTATTTTCACTTTTGCATATAAACCCACAGACTACTCTCTCTCTCTTTGCCACACAGAATGACATTATGGAAATCTGAGCTCAATGAGCATAAATCTATAAATGTGTGGTCTACAGGAAGTTACACTGCATTGACTTTCTATTGATGGAGGTATGAGGAATCTTCTGTTATGCTGGTAAAGGATCTGTTGTGCTCAGATTACTATGCAAGTGTGCATAAATCAGGGTGAAAATAGGAAGAGATTTTTGAGGCCCTGCTTTTTGGTTTCTCTGCAACAAGGATGCTAATTAATAGATGGTCTGTGCTGGATTGCAGTCAAAGGAAACATATACAAATGGTTCCTGTGTGCTAAATCTTGTTGAATTTATTCTTAGATTCTCAGATAAGTGGGAGGAATTCATTTTGTTCTTCCTTCTAGGTAATTATGCTTAGGACTTGTAGCTTTCTTAAGGCAATTTCTTAATCCTGTAAATTCTCTATATGAGGAAGATGACAAATGGGCAGGCTGCTTGTCTACCTTCTCTTCCTTCCCCAATACCATGTCTTTATGCAGACAAACAAAGGGTGTTGCATGACGCTTTATGCCTTTATGCACCCACTTTGACTCTCTCACTCTGTTTTCAAGGTCTTCTACTCTTGTTTTCTTATCAAATGTAAAAGGAGCTCTTAGACTTCCAGATAAATGGGAGGTAAGGAGGAAATCATTTTCATTCCTTTAAATACTATCATACCAAAATAGACTAATTTCAAGGTTGAGTTTTTTGTTGTTGTTGCCTTTGAAGGGAATAATAATAAATAAAGAAATGTAGTAGAATATATTATAGCATTACTCTATAGGCATTTGTTATCTTGCTTTTAGGCATTTGTTTACTTGTATATGTAGGAGTATTTCTGTTAAGCATTTATCACTCTATAGGCATTTCTTATCTTGCTGTTGTAGAAAAGGTTTCCTTAACCTTTCACTTGTTGTAAAACAATTATAACACATGCCTGCAATCAGTTACATCCCTCTTCTATTAAGACATATGATTGTCCCATCTAAATCAATTTGAATCCATCTATTTTCCTGGATTGATACATTTCACCCCAACATCACCCCCTGGGAAGGTAACGTACTTTTCTGGGAATGTAACTACCTCCATTCGGAGGAATCCACACCTTTGAAGTATGCTGTTAATAGCCTCCTTAAGTGGTCAATTGTGATCAATTAGATGGACAATAGAAGAGATAATGAAAGGTAAACATTGCCTAGAGAGACTTGTCTTTTGCAGGAAAGATGTAAATGTAAGTTAGAGAGTTTTACAATGCAGTTACTCGACTTTTAAGAATGTTAAAGGTATAAGAAGGATAGGGCATCTTCCTGTATTTTGTAGAATTTTCCTCCCATGTCTCTTGTGATGTGCATGGAACTTCTTCCCAGATCTTTAACTTTGATCAAAAAATAAAAGTCTGCTTTATTTAATTTTCAAGCCTCCCTTTAAGTCTTTGTTTTGGTTCCTTTTTGGCTTTAAGCATACTGCCAGACCTTACACCTTCAAGTCAGAGTTGACTCCTGGGGTATGCCTCAAAAAGTCCCTGCAATTTTCTTGGAACTGGCCTCCTAGTTTCTAGACTGATGCCTTAACCACCACACCAAATTGAGTCTTACACTGAGGTAGCAGTATTGGTTTTTAAAAAAAGGTAACATCTTCCCTTTGACAAATTGACATTTTCTTTACTATTTGCCATTTCCTTTTACTTCACATAAAGAGGCATGAAGGAGCTCCAGATATAACTTCAGATATAACTGAGTGTCTGAACTGGATCCCTTTCTCTCAGCCAGTGAATGTATTTTAACTGATAATTGCTGTGCCCACAAGAACATTTTGACACCAGATAATTGCTAGCCTAATAGGAGAAACTAAACTTCCTATTGTAACAGATCTGATATGCCATCTGTTAAGACTAAATAAAGTTTAGTGAGTACAATTATTTTTGTATCGTTCTATAGTATTCCCCTAAAGTTGCAAAGCTTTTTCTGATCCCAGATAAAGGTTTGATTTGTTAAGGAATTTCTAAAAAGCAAGGTCAATTTGTTAAAGAACTGTTACAAAAATTTGCGGACTATGCATTGTACTGCTTATAGGAGTTTTCTAGAAACTAAATAATCTCTTCATTGGACGATACTGATTACAATATCTTCCTATTTATTCAATCTGCTATTTTCTTCTTGAAAGAAAAGCCCAAAGACAAGGGCGGAGCAAAGCAGAGACAAGAGGGAATCTGGGATCCTTCCTTGTTTCTTTAACAGAGGATGAAGTGGAAAATTCATATGCATGCCAGTACTTGCCAAAGCTGTCAACTGCAGTGATTGTCACATTTCAATCACAGTTAAAACCAACCAGCCAGCTAGCTACTTTTTTTTTACAGCACAAGGCCTTACATTCTTGAGGACCAGAATTAATGAATTAACTATTGATTAAATTCCACTCTAGCAAATCCACCATGGCAAATAAATGAACTACCTGGGGCATATGTAGGCCACAGTCAGACATGTTCAGGCAATCGATCAGTAGTTAGCATTCTCTTAGGAGATGACAACAGCTGATGATAATATGACATGTAAGGGGAGGCAATGAAAAAAGGCCCATTCTACTGAACAGATGATCAAACAGGAAGGGATTTCTGACTGTTTTATATTTCTGTATTTTGATATCTTAGCTAGTATACCATCTCAAAGACATGCATAAATGCATGCGTGTGTGTGTGTTGTGTATTTTTATTATAATTGCAATCTTTGCAATTATAATTTTCAAGAGCAAATGCAAAAACTGAAATAAAACAAAGACCAGCTAAAGCTTCCTTAGAAGATTTTAGGAGTAAATATAGGCGTATTTCCAAAGATTTAGAAATTCAATGTTGTTATTTAAAGAATACATTTCTCTTTCTTGAAGAAGTAGACCAAGTGCCAGTAGTGTAATAAAATCTTATTAATAATAATATACACGTAGGAGACTTATTATTGTTGCCATAATTTTGATACATCCTTGGCAATGGCTGTATAATCTCTATTGGAAATTTTGGCACTCATGGATCCTTTTAGGAAAAGAATGATTACATTTGTCAATTTCCCATAATAATGGGGAAAAAATATAGAATCATATCTTCTACAGTATGTGCATATAGTTAAACAACTTAATTTATTTTATACTTATTGCCTTTTTAATATTGTGAAATTATTATTCTAATCAGGCTAATATAGTTGGAGTAACCACAAAAACCCAAAGACAAGGGTGGAGCAAAGTAGAGACAAGAGGGAATCTGGGATCCTCTCTTGTTATACTGATTTAATAGGAGGAGTGGAATGTAAAGGAGAGGAGAAAGACATATGAAAGGTTGACACGACTTTCTTTAATGTCTGAGTCTGATCAGTTTCCCATTGGGGAAAAAAAATGGAGACTTGGATATATAAGCTGATAAGCCCTCTCACTCAATATTTGCAACAAGTCAGAGAAGCTGGTTCATGATAGAATTAAATCAATAAGAATTCGACACAGAACTGATTCACATGTTTCTCAGTTCTTCACTATAAATATGGATTTGGGAATCCTTCCTATATTCACCAGTAATGCCTATACGACTTCTTTTCTTCCAATATCTCCAGTCCAGGCTGATCAAATCATGGCCTTCTTGCCAAGCTAAACACTGTGTGAGATTTGAGATTGCTTCTATATAAAGTAGAGACACTGAAGAATGGTAATGCATACATGCATCATACAGGCAGCTTCAGGATTAGTTTCTTTGCAGGGGGAAATGAAGTACCAGAAAATAACTACCACATATTGAATTAAAACGAAGTCTACTGTGAAAGACAAGATGTAAAATAAATAGGCAGACAGGCAAACATACACATTGTAACCTTCCTTCTTAGATTCATATGGAAATAAGCATTTATCTTATAGCTCAATTTATGCCAATCTTAATTTTAGCACCACTGATTCTTACAATTTAATGTAAAAAACAAGGCAAGTACATTTTAATACCTTGAACCAAGGACATAGATCCATGGTGGTGATAAGTCTTCAGGCACATCTTCTGCAGTTCTAATTTGAGTTCCATTACTTCTCACACAAATATTTCTTCTACAGGATTCAACCTAGAATAGCAAGTATCAAAATGGGTACTTTTCCTCATTCAAAATTTGAAGTCAAAGTAGTAGCAAAACTGAATTTAATATAATGATCAGAAGGACAATCATTTTGAATGGGGAGCACAAAAAAATGCCATTATTATTTATAATCACAGCATTTTTATAATATCTTTTCATTAATAAATATATTAAATGCAACAGTATTGACCAAAACCAATAAAATCAAGAAAATGGACAAAACCTGTAAATTAAAAAATAAATAAATCAGCAATTGTTAGACTTTGGAATTAAAAGAACATCTCAGAATAAATACTTTTTTTATTTCCAACAGAAGCACTTTACAGCAGAAGACTGTGCTAATGATTTTTCCCCACAAAAATGAACCATTTTAAGGAATACCTACCTATGCATTACACATCAATAAGTGCCAGTGACCTGTAGTTTAATCAGTTGGGCACCTCCCTAGTAGCAAAACGGAACAGGCCTATATAAAACTAGGTACCAGCTAACCAGGTGTAGACTTCTTTACTGCTTTATAAATGAGCAGGTTCAAATAACTTACTCAACTAGCACAAAGCTCAACACAAGGCATCAAGAAAATCATAATATGCAAATTTAGATAATTATCCTATTCAAATAGTATTCCCTCTTCAGAAGTTTGACACTGATAACCCATGGCATCTGCTGCCAGTCAGGCCACTGAGATGTATTAGGGAAACAATTTCAGTGCAATACAATATCTAGGCAAAGTAATGCATGGCATTTAAATTTGTTTGTATTTAAACTTCATTGAAACAATATAGGACTTCTTTAGCTAAATTATTCCATGATTAAGCTAGTATTCATAACAGAATGATAGACTGAGCCATAGGACTGTCTAGAAACCCTTTAAATTGTTGTAACCTATCCTAACTGTATTGAGAATGATCCAAGTGTTTCTCATTTTTTCATATACATGGGGAATTTCCATTCTTTTCAACAATGGAATTTAACCTCCTCTTAGAGTTGTCTTTTGAAAACATGCTGCATTATCAAATCACCCCATCCAAGATGAGGACATGGTATATTTTTCAATGTGAATTACAAAAATAGTAATAATAGACTTAAATTAATAAGTTTGGAATTGGGACACCCAGAATGTTGCCACTTCACCTTTGTAAGTCTATCAGCTTTCTTTCCTCTTCTGTCCCAAAATAGAAATAATGAACCTTTGTAGCAACATATTAATGTTTGATGAACTCTGAAGATGAAAGTCAAAATATGACTTCCTGAGTTTTTAGTGCTTTAAATAGATCCAGAGAAAGACTAATAATGTCACCTTTAAATCAACAATAACAAAAAAGGTCATTCAATATGCCTGATTATAAATTGACAGATGTCTACACATGACATCAAAAAGCAAGACAGATACCCATTTAATTATAACTTTAGGAAACTGAAGATTTGATAGGAAATGTAAGGTCAAAAAAATGGAGGGGAAGCAAATGAACAATTAAATCTTTGACTTTTACCCGATATTTCAGTGTTACAGACATTGGCACAAATCTTGAAATATGAGAAGCTAAAAAAAAGCTTGCTGATTAATATGTAAGACATCAATAATAAATCCTGAGGTCTGAAAACTGTTAAAAGTTCTTGGAATTTATACTATGGTTGAAGAAAGACAAGTACGTATACATATGGAAACTGGAAAGTTATATGTATATTCATAGGGAGTGGAGGTTTTTTTTTACTAAAAGGGGCTGGAATGTGGAAATCTGTTATAGTGTGCCTTTGTGTGACGTTTATTTATTGCATGTTGCAAAGGGATGCAAATCGTAGGACAAAGTATACATGATTACTGTTACGGGGTCCCCATACATCATTAAAAGAAAGCCAGTATCTGAGTGAGACAAAAAATATATATAGAAAAGTTGCAATTAAAGCAGCATTTTGAACAAATGAAATCAAACCCATTATAGAAATGTATTTGTATGCCTTTTCTTCACAAATATTCATAAAACCTGCAAATTTCTTAGGAAGCCTAAAGAGAAGGAGGAGAAAAAAAACCAAAGGGTTTAAATATTAATTGTATTTTTAAAAGACTGGGATTTCTTGGCTAAGATCATCCTATTCCAGAGAAGAAGCGGAGGTAGGGGAACATGATAAAAGGCTACCAATGCAATATCATTAGTTCTGGTAGTTCATGTTTTATGCATGCCTGATGTTTCTAAAACAATTGCTATTTTGTTTTAATCAGTAGGAGTTGGATCTCTGTAATATATATAAGTTTAGCATCACAGGAGGAAAGGAAATTTAACCCTGGTAATTTTAAAAGACGGACTATATACATGTACATTCACCCGTCTATGTATATACACAGATATTATATAGTCCTTCTAATATATACATATTTCAGTCACTGTTGCTAATAAATGCAATTGGTAGCTTTATCAATACACCTTTGTGCATATTTACCTCAGATGGCCCATATATTTATTTATCTTTCATTGGTGCATTTTTTCTAACAATTTAGAAAAATACAATATTGATGTCTGATTGCATTTTTCTTTCTGATTCAAGTAATAGAAATTAACTAAATTTTCTTTGCAATACAAAATAAAAAAAATTGTTCCACATTCATATAGTTTGAGGCATTAATGTATTTGCATGTATTCATAATACCGATTTATTTTTTAACATTAAACTATTTTGTTTTAATTTTTAGTAGCATTTTCAATTTATTTTCTGAACATAAGAGATTGTTAAAGATCCCATTTATAATTATATTTTTTAAAGTTCACTTAGTTACTAAACTGGGTGTTAAATCAGCAGATAAAACACAAAAATCACAATTAATTAGGACAAAGAAAGGAAAATATAATTGCTCCAAAATATCTAAAAAGGATTAGAAGAAATACTATGGTGTATGGTACAAATTATAAAACAGTACTTAACTATCATCAAGGAAATAAAATCTGGTCATAACAACTGAAGATAAAACAAGCCAGAATGACCAGGATATTTAATAAAGAATGGAGATAATAATTCTTGACAAGAACCTGCATGGAGGGGGCAATATAGAATAATATGTTCCATTGCTTCAATTATTCCTCTAACATTAGAACATAGTCTCTGATCAAAGGAGATCCTTTGGTATTTCCCTTTCGTAAACTGCAAAATGAAGTATAAAATCTTTGGATATTTTAATAATTTGCAAAAACTCAATTATCAGTATGGTAGCACATATACACTTATAGATGTGTGACACACACATATCGTATATATGCACTATTAGCAATATTAATTGTCTATATCTGTTTTACATATTCCTAATTATTCCATGAATTATCAAAGTTTCATATATCACATACAGTATACAAACATATGCCATTTTCATGACCGTATGCAAAATGATATATGGATTGTGTTAATATCTGTACATTTATAGATGCACTGACATTAAACTATATACAAGAAAAAAGAAATAATCCAACCTGTATGTCATAAAGAGTGAATGGAGACAAATCTTCTACAATGAAATATCCAGGCGCTTTCATTCTGGTCTCAAATCGGTTATTATTTACATAAATAGAATATTCTGTGACAACACCATTTGAGTTTGAAGGCAATGCCAAAATGACACATACAGCTGTACTATTGATGATTACAACCTCTGGAGGGAACAGGTCCTCTGGCTCTAGAAATAAAGAAGGAAAGGGAATGAACTCCATTTGCCATTGTAAAAACCCTTGTTTAACCAAATACACATTAGAATTTAGATTTAGCAAAGCCTCTGCTACTTATCTACTAGTTTGTTAAAATGTTTGTATTGTTTTCTAAATGGACTTGTTATAAGATCAGAAATTGTGGGAAAAGAGGATGGTAAAAACGTTTGTATCTCCAGCCTTGCCTTAACTTTGCTTTACTATAACTTTGACTAGAGGAATGTGACTATTTATTTAACCGTGTGACCTCATTCACAATTATTCAGTATAGTCTCATGTTTCAACTCTATTCCCCCCCCACCCCCTTAGAACTATCTTCTAAGGGTGGCATAGCTTTTATTAGCATCATAATTTGAGCAATGTGTATTAAATTATTATGTAAATGGTTTTGATGATTACCAAAGACGATAATGAAGCATTACCTTTTTTTTTTTTCCAAATAACTCCATCTTTCCTAGCATTAAATTACACAGATTATTTAAGCATGTCATAAACAGCTATGCTTCTTATGTAAAGCTGTTTTTATCTAGGTAAATCCATCTTTACCAGTTGAAAAATTGTACTTTCAGTAGGTTCTATTTTATAAATAAAAAGGGGGATGAACTTTGGCTTTGCCAAGAAAATGCAATCCTGACTTAAAGTACTTTGCTAATGACCTGGAACACTTGCTTCTGGGGTAATGATATTATAATGTTTATAATGAGATTTTACAAAGCCAAAAAGATTAGAAAAGCTATTCCAAAGGCATTTGAAATTCACAAGTTGCTTTTTCCACCCTCCTTTCCCTTCCCTCCCTCCAGCTTGCCAATTTGTTTGGAAATATGTCAGGGAAACTCTCTGAATGGCTAGATTTACACCTTTCATTTCTGGTCAAGCAGTTGACTGTCATGTCACAAGTAGTTTTTCACAGCATTATTTTTTTTTTTTTAAAAAAAAACAACCTCTTATTTTCATAATGGAACAATGACAGATTTCAATCGTCATTAAAAAAGTTAATTAAATTTTAGTTTTTAAGCTGAAACAAGAGTCAACCTGCCTACATCTGGTGTAGTCTCTTGCACAGATTCACTTTTGATGCTATGAAGTCCATTGAAAACTTGAAGCAAAATCTGATATTATTGGATATAATTCACCAATAACAGCACTATTTTTACTTGCAGGGACCTTTTTGGAGTTTATTTGGACAGTGTCATTCCAGGAAAGGAAATAATATTCAACACTTCCTTGAACATCTTGTAAGGCTGTTTAATGAATAAAAACAAAAAATCTGGTTATGGAAATGACTGGAGAAATAATAACTTCACAGCTCTTGACACAAAAATGATTCCAAGTATGTTAGAACTGCAAAGTTATAGGTAAAGGGGCCAGTGATAAACTCTGTACTGATGATATAAATATTCTATACGGGAAATTGCTTTGTAGGCAAATCTTATTGTTCTGATTCTTCCTAACTTGAATCTCATTTCACCAGGATTGTCTGTTGATAAATTCTTTGAGCTCTTTTAAAATTATCAGTGTATTATCTGGAATCTCTCCACTTTGTCTTTTATCAGCCTCTTTTCTAAAGTATTTATTATCTTTGATTTTCCCACGTCTTTTCCAACGAGTCTTGCCTTTGCATTATGTGTCTAAAATATTTAAAGTTTAACTTCATCATTAGTACTACGAATGAGAATTTTTGCTTTCCTTCATGTAATATTGAATGATTTATTCTTCTTGTAGTCCAAGGTATTTTCAATCATTTATCCAACAGCATATTTTAAAGGCATCAATTTAAATACAAAATCTATTCCAGACATAAGAGTATGAAGAGAAATGCAACAGTTTCCCCCCATCCTTACAATACTACAGGCACAATCTCAAACTCAACAATCTATGAATTGATATTTCCAGGTAGCTCATCAAAATAAAGCTTCTGTCTCCATTTTCTTTTATTTCTGTAGCTGAATGTTAGCAGACCCTCTGTTTCCAAAACTCCTGTGCTATCTTTCACCTTTGAACCCACCAGCAACAAAGACATAAAAGAAAGTTGTTTTCAAGTGATTACTGGGATGGAGGTGGGGACAGGAAAAATTTGTTCCAGATCTGTGACAAAATAAAAACATTTGGAGACAGGGAGATTGCTTATTTGTTTGGAATAAGGCATATCAAGCAATGAAAGAATAAATAAAGGTTTGCTCTAATGACCCTCACTTGATGTTTAACCTTTGTATTCATAAACAGGCATCTAGGAAATTTGTGCAGTAAGAATGAAAATGAAGCCAGATTGCATTACCTTTATCTAGGTGGTCAGAGGTTTAAATTACTAAAGTAATGAAACTTCAGCAGCCTGCTTCAGATCTATTAGGTTTGTCAGTTTTTATAAACATGCTTACTTCAGGCATCCAATTATAAATATAAATTTTAGTGGAGCCTCTATTTGCTGAGAGTCACTAGTAAGTGCTTACAGACAGATTTGCATGTACATATTGAAGAATTAACCTACTGCTTTGATGGACAGGTAATCTGGATTAAATGGATATGTTCCTCTCAAGATGACATAGCACAAATGTGTACATTTGCATATACAGAAAATCCATAACTCTTCTGGAAAGGAAGATCAGGCTGTACAGAAATGCTGGCATTTGAAAATAATATGACAACCTCAAAGAGGTTTGAATTGATGTACTGTCTGCTCAGAACTTCTTATGCGGTTTCACATTGTGAAACGCATCCAGAATCACAAGCAAATGTTGACTAACCCAAATCTTCTTAATTAATCACCTCAGAAAGAATGTTGTAAAATAAGAAAAGGTGGAGATTTAAAAAAAACACAGTATGCTCTTTGGGATGTAAGAGGCTACAATGTTTGGAGAATATATCTCCCTTGTTCAAAATACTTAAATAAGCTGAAAGGTAAGAAATTCAAGACAAAGAAAATGAAATCCTTAGGATACCACAGTTAATTGGTGGAAGGTGCTACTACCTACTGTTGACCAGAAACTTGAATCTCTTTAAATTTGATCAATTCTTAAGGAGACCAAGAATCGATGGCAAACTGTAAGCATGACTATAGATTATCTCCAATACCGAAGATAGTAAATATTTCATTGCTGCTGGGCAGATATTGCTCCTGTTCTTTTTGTGGGTTTCCATTTGCTGAATTTTTTTCTTCTTATATTCTTAATAGACTGTACCACATATATTTATACACATGGTTCAACTTCACCCAAGGAAGGGTGTAGTTTTCTCTAATCTATGGTTTCTCCTTCTTCAGTATATTATGATCTCAACCAGAGGAACAATGATAAGAAAAATAAATTACTGGGAAAGTTCCTAATATAAACTGTGGAATGAAAAATGAGTGGCAACTACTATGCTTCCTTACTTCTCCTTTTAGGAGTACCTTTAAGGTACCTATCCTTAACTCTTTGGGGAAAGGTTCATGTCATCAAAAAGAAGATAAGAAAAAAGACTGATGAATTAGGTGGAAGAGCACCTAGTTATGACAAGAGATGTAGTTGGTGACAGGCTATCACAAAGGATATCACCCAAACTCCTGATTGTATCCCAAGTTTAGGAAAAGTGATTGCTGTCCTGACACTGACAAATTTACAGCAGCACAGATGTCTTGGCATAAAGTCCATGGCATTAGCAAGTGGCACAAGTCCAATGCTGGCCTCTTAGAATCCCAGATGCTGTTAAGAAACCCAATTCCTGATAAGGTGAGAACTTGCAAAACAAAATGGTGATGAAGGTAGGGCAATATGGCAGATATCTGGAAAATTCAGAACAGCAGCTGCAACCTCAAAAGGCCAGCTAACATAAGTCTGTAGCTATAGATTGACCTAGAGGAAATAAATGAGTTGGACATTTTTTGGTCTCAGGGTAGATTTGGCTATGGAACTGAGTTTATATTGATCACTCATGACCAACAGCAAGATTGGGAGGGGGAAAGGGAGATATTTGGATGAGGTTTCTTGCTGACATCAAGTTAGGTGTGATCAGACAAGAAATGTAGTCAAAATTGTGTATCATGACCAGAAAACTGTTAGGGTCTGGATGAGGATGAATAGATCTATGGCAGGGCTTCCCAAACTGTAAAATGCAGACAGAGTACAGAAAATTTTGGGGACATGCAGACCAAGTACAGGGCTGATGTGGAAAACCTTTTAGGTAAATAAATTCATTTTTTTTGGTACATTTGTGTTCATTTTGGTGTTTAGATTTTTAGAGGAGGTGTATACATGAAGATTACACTAAATTGAAGGGTGATGGCAAAAGATTTAGGTACCCCTGATCTCTGCTCAATCCTAGCAAAATTAAATAGCTTTGAAGTCAGAAGCCTTCTGATGATGGGCATATTTCATCTTTGGTTCTGCATGGGATCATGCTTTTCCATGCAGAAATATTCATAAATTGGGGTTCTTCTTGGATTCATAGCTCTGCTTTTTCAATGCAATGCCTCTAATAGAATTTTCACATCACTCTAGTTTACAAACTTTAAAAAAAAATCAGACTTTGAGGAGTAAGCCATTAAGCAAAGAGAAACAATATCCTTTTTATCTAATTGAAAGCCAGTTGTTTAATGCTAGATGATGGATTGTATAATCAACAAGAACACTTACTTGGAGTGGTCCATTTCACTTCTATAGCAGTGTGGTTAAGAGGCTTTGCAGTAACATTAGTGCCTTTCTCTGAAAATCCTCCTAATGTTGTAACAATCACTTCTTCACTTGACATATATCCTACTTCATTACGTACTATCAGCTTATATGCATATGTTGTATTCCTAAAGGATATGATTTGTATCATTAAAAGAGGAAAATCATTAGAAGCATTCAGTTTAAGTGTTGACTTTACTTCAGATTCTAACCAAAAGTTAGATTAGAAGAAACATTCAGCAGAGCTTCTATTTGACTCAAAAATTTGTGAATAATTCACAAATTTTCACTCTGCTGAATGTTTATTTTAAGTTCAAAAATAAAATTTGGTAACTATTTCCAAATATAATTATGCCAATTCCAACCTCATTCTTTTTTGAAAAAAGCAGGCTTAATTTATTATTCAATTTAGCTTTAGTTCATTTTCTGTCTCTTGTAGCCTACATAGCTCTCACTATTTCCAGAATTTTTTTTAACCTCTTATAAAACACTAGTTGGAGACAGTAGTTCCCATTTACTTCAAAGTTAAATCCTGATTCATTAATTTTATTCCCAACTCCAGATACTTCAAAAGTATCCTGAACTCTGGTTTTCAAAAATTCATTGCCTTCAAGGAAATGTGTAGAACAATATTCAGGCAAAGCAATTAAAAGAAATTCATAAGAGCAAGAAAAGTTCAGGACAATATTTCTGCATTTGTCAACAAACCACAGTAAACCTAGCTTAATGTGATGCATGAACCTCTCTGTGAGATATGGTGCCAGGAAAGGAAGAGAGAGTTATCCAACCCACTGTGTTTGATTTGTTGGAAAATCTTTTTACAAAAGGCTTAGATTCAACAGAATTTATGGAATTCAGTCAAGGAACACAGAATGGACAATTACTGTTTTTACACAATGCCACAAAGTAGTTTGATTTTGGTTTAGTAATAAGTGAAAGCAGTTTTTATAATGTGTAAATTATTTTTAAGGATTGGAAATGTGGTTTATTCAATGAACAATGATTAAACAAAGAGTTGTGTAGTAAAATACATGAACCCAGTCTACAGATTTAAACATGCCCAGCATAAATACAGACACTAATACCATGCTTCAAGGAGTGAAAGAAGCTTAACAGATTTTGACTAAATGAAGATTTTTCTGGTTAGGCATGATAGGACTAGACATCCAAGGGACCAAGAGAAGGATATAAAGATGGGTTAGGGTTGATGATTTGTTACAGAATAGGACATCTTAGAATAGGATAAAGATAGGCAGGTGGAGGAAGGTTTGTAAAGAAACAAAAACAATAAACCCAAGATATTGCTTTAGTTAAACAAAAATGTCCTCTTAAGAAAAAGCCACAATTAAAAGTGATTTCCTAGGTCAACACATCACAGATCTATACTCCAAATCTCCTTCATAAATATTTCTCAAACCCATGAACAAGCTAGCAATAGGATAGAATTGGAAGAATGCTGGATGCTGTTGTACTTTAATGAAATAAGTAAAACCACTCACTCAATATTTCAGCAGTTCACTTCTTACTTTCCTAAGCACTTTTTTAAAAAGAAAAACAAAATTGCACACAGGAGAAGAGTAGGTAACCAAACCAAACAAAAGAGTGTTAATAAAGGCTCATGCCAAAGGAGATGACAGAAAATATTTCATTACATAATTAACATGTTTGCAACACGGAGATGCAAGGAACGCTTTGAACTATTAAATATGGGCTATACAAAATGCCAGCATTTGTTTTTATAGTTTTAGTAATCTTACCTGCTAAGACCCTTATCTTCATAAAACCACTGAGTTCCTGAGTAAATATTGTCCCAGAGATTTAAATCTTCAGGGGGATTTGACGCAAGTGGCTGCTGGATTTTAAGTCTCAGGAGCTCATATCTAACACAAAAGACAAGCAGAATGGTAGGATTATCTTAACTAATGTTATGACAAAAAAAGGTTGCTTTTAAAAGTCACACATTATTTTCTTTTTACAGCTATAATCTTGTTTTTTTAATATTTTATAATTTGACACTTTCCACAACTTATGTAATTAGTTTCAGAATGGATGAGGTTTTTTTTAGCAGTTCTTTTATTAAGGAAAAATTACTTCAACCAATCCACCATCACCCAAGACTAGGCACGCACGCCTCTAACTACCTCAATTCCAACTACATCTGGCCTTAAATGCAAGCTACTCAATGCAAGAAGCCTTGTGAATAAAATACCTGAATTTCTCCTCTTACTAAATATGGCTAAATTCAACATCATATTTGTCTGTGAAACATGGCTCAACGCATCTCTCCCTGACTCCATTACCACAGTAAGAGACTATCATGTTTACCGATCAGATCGTGAAATCCGTAGAGGAGGTGGTGTTGCTATCTTCTATAAAAAGTCCCTACATCTAAAAAGCATCCAAATTACCTAGGAGCTTGCTATTCCTGAGACCATCGTCTGTGAACTGTCCTTAAATATCACATTTCAGTTCTTACTATGTTACAGAGCCCCTGATTCTGACATCAAACATGCAAACAAGCTAAATTCACTACTAACATGGGCAGCATCCTGCCCACACGCTTTTATCTTTCTTGGTGACTTCAATCTACCTCATATTAACTGGACCCTAAACGAATGTACAACTGAACCCATACATGCAACCTTCTACAATGCTGTTACAAATCTGGGACTGGAACGACTAGTAACCAACAATACTAGACTTAACAACTGCCTCGATCTCATCTGCAATAGTTTGAATTTAATTTATGGAATACAAACTAAAGAACCCTTTTCCAACAGTGACCACAATATGATTGACTTTTGTCTCAACATTCGCCCACACAAAAATCATCACAATGACATAATCCCCGATTATAACTTCAAAAACGACATCTATGATCTTATAGACAATGATCTCTCATCCCTTGATTGGCAATCTCTATTCACTGGATGCAATACTGTTGAAGACCATTACAGCATATTTTTACTTGAAGTCAAAAGAGTCATCAAATTATATGTACCTATAACAACTCCCAAAACAAAAACAAAAAAACAAATTACCCATAACAATAAGGAAACTTCAATCCAAAAAGAGATCACTCTAGTGGAAAAACAAATCTGATCACATTGTCACCTTCAAAAGCCAATACAAAAACTTATGCCACCAGATAAAGACTGAATGCACCAATTATCACATTAAACAAGAGGAAAACCTTCTACGCACCAATTCCACCCGTGCGTTTTACAATTTTGTAAACAACAAACTAAAAGACTCAAGGTCCATCCCACCCCGATAGGACCTAATGGTAAAGACTGCAATGACGACTCCATTAAAGCCAACATGTTTAACACATTCTTTGGCTCAGTATTTGTAAACAGCAATGGATCATGCCCAGTATTTCCTAGCTGAACCACAGAAAACTATAATGATCTAATACATATCGATTTTACAGAAGACCATGTTGTAAAAGCACTATGCAATCTAAAACCATCTCTATCTATTGGGCTGGATGGAATATGTGCCTACTTCTTAAAAAAGCTACCCACTGCCATAGCAGAACCTCTAAGCATAATTGTTGAAAAATCTTTCAGGACCAGCTCCTTGCCTAACCTATGGTCACAAGCCACAGTCATCCCCATCTTCAAAAAGGGAGCCTAGTTGAAAATTACAGACCAATCTCTGTATGCTGCGTCACCTGTAAAGTCATGGAATCAATTATTAACCAATCCATTATCCTCCACTTAGAGACAAACAACCTACTCTCTAATAAACAATTTGGTTTCAGAAAAAAACTATCCTGTAATCTGCAACTCTTACACTGCAAAAACATATGGACTACACAACTTGATCAGGACAAAACAATAGACGCAATCTAGATAGACTTCTGTAAAGCCTTTGATTCAGTGGTACACAACAAACTACTCCTAAAACTAAAATCTTATGGTATCTCTGGACAACTGCATAACTGGATAGAAGCATTCCTGTCAAACAGACAACAAATGGTCAAAATTGGGAGTGTCCTATCAAATTAGTTACCTGTCAATAGTGGTGTCCCCCAAGGCAGTGTTCTAGGACCAACTCTCTTCATACTCTACATAAATGACCTCTGTGACCATATTAAGAACAACTGCATTCTTCTTCGCTGATGATGTAAAGCTGTTCAATACCACAGACAATACTGCTACCCTTCAAAAAGACCTTGACTATGTATCAGAATGGTCAAACAAATGGCAACTTCAAATCTCAACAAATAAATGCTCTGTCTTACATATTGGCAAAAAATATATATATCAGAAAATAAAATACAAGCTAAATAGTCAAGACCTTGTTGATGATCCAAGCTCTGTAAAGGACCTTGGAATACTCATTTCTAATGACCTAAGTGCTAGAGCCCACTGTAACTACATAGCCAAAAAGGTGTTAACCTAATCCTACGTAGCTTTTTCTCTGGTAATATCACACTACTAACTAGAACATACAAAACATTTGCTAGACCAATACTTGAACACAGCTCATTAGTCTGGAACCCACATTACATATCTGTTATTAGCACAGTTGAGAAAGTCCAGAAATATTTCACAAGAAGAGTTCTCCACTCCTCTACTCGTTGTAGAATACTTTATGCCACCAGACTTGAAATTCTAGACCTAGAAAACCTTGAATTACGTTGTCTTCAGTCTGATCTAAGTATGGTATATAAAATCATACATTGCAATGACTTACCTGTCAATGAATACTTCAGCTTCAACCATAACAACACAAGAGCACACAATAGATACAAATTAAAGGTTAACTGCACCAAACTTGATTGCAGGAAATACGACTTCAGCAACAGAGTGGTCAATGTCTGGAATACTATTATATTATACCTATTATCTTGTAAGCAATTGACAAATCAAAATAAATAAATAAAAATAAAAATGTAATATAGTGTTTGATGAAATGTGCATACCTTTTTAGGATAATTTGACAGGAGTTTGAACAGAAGTTTGAACAGGCAAACTTGCTTTATATAGAAAAAAAGTTAAGAAAGATAAATTATGTGAAAACTTGAGTTCTCTTCCTAGCATATACTTTATCTGCTATGTAACAATCCTTATTTCATTTGATTTAATAATAAAGATTTACCCTTGAAAGTTGTGAAACAACTAGGTCAGGAGACTATGATAATCAATCTTTATATCAGTTGCTTTTTTTTTTTAAAAAAAAACCGCTTTCCCTCAATTTATTTGTAAATGTATCAGAATTCTCTTTGCCCTGCATTTCATTTTTCCTTGGGTGACTATTGTTCAGAAGCAAAGATTTGTGCCATCAAAATGATACTTCCCATGAACAAGAAGGTGGCTTCAACAGACTTGAGAAGCTAAAAGTTTACCGATGTATGTGTATGTATGTTTATGTGAAAAGAAAGAAAACCAATGAGGTCTCAATACATTCAATGTCCCCAGCAAAACAGAAAATTATTAGGAACAGCAAATAAAATGTAGGAAATATTTTTTTTCCAGCATTCTGATTTAATCAAATAACATAATTAATTTTAGAACTCAGTCTGCTTTGAGATGGAAGGATCAGTCTAATTCAAATCTGAATGATTTGCCCAGATTCATAATTAGGTCTTCTCTAAAGCAGACTAGATGTTAATCTCCTCAACATTTTCATATTTTATACTTGAGTTTAAAAAATCCTTACTTTTGAAAAAGTATTTATCGGGCAAGATACTTTTTTCCCATGAAGTTTCTCTCCTTTTAAAAAGAAAAGAAACAAATAAAAGAAAAAAAAGTTGCTTCAAGTGGCTAGAAATTCCAGCTGTCAAACCCACTTGGCTACTCATGACTTTGGGAGGAACAGCACATACTATATTTCCAAGAGACACTGCTTAGAGCAGGAGTGAAAAACTATGGCCCCTTTATGACCAGTGGACTTCAACTCCCAGAATTCCTGAGCCAGCCATGCTCAGGAATACTGGCTAGAAATTCTGAGAGTTGAAGTCCACCAGTCATAAAGGGGCCATAGTTTCCCACTCCTGGCTTAGAGAAAAGATGGACAATCCCAGGCAATTTTGTAAAAAAAAAATGGATTCAAGGTTCCTGGGAGGAACAATACATCATCATGACCTTTGCTCCCAAGATATTTTAAGACCCATTTTGATTACAAGTACCTGCCATGTGAACAACCTCAACTTTTAGATACTATGAATAAATATTTTAGTTAAAAAATGTCCTAAAATATATGTATTTTAATGACAGCCTTCAGAACACTTTGCCAAATTTATCAATTGAAGATTCCTTAGAGGAATTACATTCTGAGGTGTATCCCAATCTGAGAGGTGCAACATTATTGTACTTTTAATTCCTTTAGATCATTTGCATCTTTTCCTTTTGATATTTCCATGTTTACTGAGGCATGGATAGAAATTCACAAAAATGTTCTTTAGTTATAGCTGTACATGTTATTCACCTTAGGTTAACTGATATATACAAGTAGTTTGGGTTTAAAGTACTTTGGTTGGAATGAACAGAAGAAAAGAAAACCATTCTCTTAAATTTTCAAATATTTTATATGGTATTTGTTTCTTTTTGTTAAGTAATATTTAATTCTTCAGAAAATCACTAAGGAAAATTGAAAATATAATACCAATCAAATACCCTGCTGTGTCCCCAACATAACCTCTTCAGTATTTTCAGTTTAACAACTAATTATCACATTTTCAATGTATATAAAAGAACAGAATAGAACAGAATAGAATAGCTTTATTGGCCAAATGTGATTAGACACACAAGGAATTTGATGAAGAAATAGTCTCGGGGTGGGGGTGGAACTCTATTAATTTCTCCTGGCATCCCATTCTGCCAAAATAGTTATTCCAGTTCATTATTTGTTTGACAGTGTTACAAGCTAGCTTCCCTCCATGAGCTCAAAACACCTTATATGGGATCCCCTTGTCTTTTATCCTATTTTATCCTTATACTCTAGGAGGAGTGTAGGGGTGAGAATAAATGCCTGTCCAAAAGCGAGCTTCAATAACTAAAAAATAATATGAATCAGGGATGGGATCCGACCGGTATAACTACCGGTTCGGTTGCTCTGTGTCGTGTGAGTGCAATTTACAAGCTGCTGAGCTGTCCAGACAGCTGAGCAGTGCTGCATGTGGGCGCACAGCGGTTGGAAAAGCCCTTTTTTCCTGCTTTTTCAAGCGCAGCTGTGCCACACAAAGCAGCTGAGGTTGAAAAAGCAGGAAATAAAGGACAGGTAAGATCCCAGGCGGGCGGATGGGCCAAAACAGCAGCAGACACAGAACCGGTTCTGTGTCTGCTGCTCTTCAGAGCTACTGGTTCTGTAGAGCCAGACAGAACCTGTAGAATCCCACCCTTGATATGAATCAATATCTTCTTATTTATAATCCAATTTCTTAATCCCAAAGCCATACTAAGGGATCATGAAGAAGAGAAAATTTGTTAGCACAAGTTAATATTACATTAATCCTCTCACCAATGTACAGAAAACGCATATACTGTAGTATCCATTTGATTTTATAGGAGAGCCCAGAAGGAATTCCTAATAATTAGTTTTTTGTAATTTGCTGATTATATATTAAGCAAAACTAATTAATAATTCCTTCTTGCATCTGAATAATTTTAGGTTGATAATAGAATTGTCCAACCCATATTAGGTATAGTTCTTGGCTTCAGAAGTAGAGGCCATTTTGACTCAGTCTGAAAAATCCCATTCTTTAAAGCATAAATTGAATGAAAATGGAGTATACATTCCCATTATTTAGAGTAGGAAAATAGTAAATGGCTCAATTTTTTTTTTATAAGGACAGCATGAATTTCAAAAGGAAGTTTTAAAAAGTGATCTAAATTTCATAAAATAGTGATGGGGGGAAGGAGGGGTTGAGCTACACTTTAAAATGGGTGTTAAATGCCTATAGGAATTTACATTTTTCACCAGGATCTATAAGAAAAGTACATACCTTTAAAAAATGAAATGTGCTAAATTTAATAATGATGAGTGCAATGTTTTATTAAAATTATGTAAATTTAATGCTATTAAATATAACTTTTGAAGGAAGAATATATAGTGAAAATGGATCTTCTAGCAAGGAGTATGCATGGCAAATTTCAGGCAGATCAGTTGATGGGTTTTTTCTGAAAAAGGAAAGGTTGCATCCTTTCTGAATGCAGTCAGGGATTGAGGGCAGGGATAAATATAAGAGATTAAGTCACTCATATTTCCCTAAAAGCAAATAAAGTTCTTAAACCAATCAAGTAGATAAGAAGCCATAAACTTCTTATCTATGGATAGAAGATGGAAAACAGGAAATAAATGCTTAAATTAAGAGTGCCATATCAATTTCTATGCCCCCTCCTCTCCCTCCTCTCTCATTTTGATTGGCATAACTGATGGTTGTCTGATTATAAGGGTCACTCTCATTTGAGGGCAGACCTGTCAATCAAGAATATAGTTAAAGTTCTTTTTGGTACTTGAAAGAGACCCTGGAATGCATGGTGGAAGATAATTTTATGTCTCCTTTCAGTTTGTGAAAGGACATATGAGAGAAGTACATCCTGTCAAATAAGCCAAAAACTAATTTGAATTGTCCCAAGTTTATGTCTAGTCCTAATAATTTCAGGCAGTTCTAGATAGACTAATTTATTTTGATTAAATAAAATTTATATACAAAGTTAAGTTTTTGGTGTATTCTGATATATTCTTTTTTCCATTACCTTATGTGATGTCCATTGGTTTTAGATGGTGGTTGCCAATACACAGTAATTACTGATTCATTAATTGGGGTCACAGTCACAGAACTGATATTTTGGGGAAATGTTGGAAGTGTAACCATATATGTTGGTAGACTCTTGGTGCACCCTCCAATGTAATCTCCACCTCCAGTACAAGCTTCTATGGTGACCGAGTAATTTGTGAAAGGGATCAGGTTGGTTACTATGTGGCTCATAGAAGTTGTCAAATTGTTAGTTATAGTGATCCGAGGGTTTGGCATGTAGATCTCATAGCTCAATATTTCTCCATTTAAAATAGAAGGAGACTCCCAGGAAACCTAAAACAATAAGAAATGGTTTAGAATGAAAGATTAAGAATTTTACAAGGTTTAAAAAATAGTTCTAACAACATCATGCTATTTGTAAATATAATTTCACTTTCTGGGTTTATGCATGAATCCAAATGTCAACTCACGAAGCATCCCTGACCTGATCTTATTGAAGAAGCAGAAAGAATTAGAGAATGGCAATCCCATGAACAATTAGGAAATCTATGAAGGACTTGGGCTTTATAGATAATAAACAGCACCTTGAATTGCATCCAGAAAGTATCAAGCAACCGTTGCAACTTGCAATAAAGAGCTGTCAAGATAGGTATTCTGAAGTGTTAGAATACCTATAGGTGTTAAATAAGAAAGGGGATAATGTTAAACCCTGATTTAGTCTTGTAAATCATTGGACTAGGACTTATTTTCTCTTGCTCATCCATCAGCCAACAATGACTGGAACTGGCCATGGACAAAGGAGACCACTGTTCTTCTCCTTTGAAACAGTGCTACTAGCTAACTTCCCAAGTCAGCCAGAAGGATCAATAATATCAGCCAAGATCAATAATATCAAAAGCTACCAAGAGAACAAGGAGGATTAAGAGGATTGTATTACCCCCATCCCCCTAAAGGTTATCCATTAGTGCAAACAATGTCATCTCAGTGCTACATGCTGGTTGGAAACGAAGCAGAAAATATTCCATCTAATATGTTTCTTCCAGAACTCTGGCTGTTGCTATCAGAAAATATAGTCAAGTCTTTTCCATTTCAAAATACTTTCGGATTTCCTTCTCATAACATCATTCTTCACTGGTATTAAAACCTAATCATGACTGTCAAAGAGTCATTTTTAATCAATCTAGGTGGCAAGCTGTTCACCTGCAAAGTGTGCCATTTAGTTATGAGTATTTTTATATCAGTCCAAATATAGGAAAAGATGAAAAACAGGTCTGTCCAGACATTTGGTAAAATATTGCACACAAGGATTGGCTGAGTTCTTTAAGATGGTTTATACTGGACAGTGTTAATCATCCTTTTGCAGATCAGGTGTCCTATTCTGAATTATTCATGTCTTGGATTATCAGAGATATAAAATATACAATAAAATACAATTTTATTTGCCTATAAACTCTGGAGAAGCTCACAAACAAAAGAACAATTATATCTGCATTTACTTTTGAGCTCAAAATAAAACTGAGGCTCTGGGAGACCTAGTGCAGGCCCAGGCCGCCTTTCTGGGCCTCCTAAGGCCCACCTCCTGACACACCCCATGTTCTCCCTCCCACTCCTCAAGATCCCCACAGCCCTTGTGCCTGCGTTCCTCCCCCAGATTCCTGCAGGCCTCCCCTGAGTCTTTGCAGGCTTTTCCCCACTACCACCAGGTCCCATGGGCCTTTTCCTTCCCACTAGTCCCCACAGGGCTTGGGCTTCCTCCTCACACCCTACTGGATTTCTGGAGCTTTCTGCTGTGCTGCATGGACCACTTTAGAGAAGGTGAATGTAGCTTTGTCATGTGGTGTGATTCTGGAAGTGGTTGCCATTTTGCAAGCATTCACATTGAGCTATGGTTGTTCAGAAAAAGGTGACTGCTTCTGGAATTGTGCCAGGTGGCTGTGCAACAAAGCAATCCATTCTGCTACCCTACAGTGCTGCAGAAAGCTCTAATATTTCCTCTACTCAAAAAGTGTTTTGTTTCTTCTCCCCACTATACTTATCTGATAATACCAGATAAAAAAAATATGTATTGTATTATTATTAAAATTATGTATTAATTTTACTTTCCTTGTTTTTTTTAAGTCATTTCTCCTGAAAAGTAACCAATCATTCAGTCATAGAGATTTACCCACAACTAGGATATGGCTTCAAACTATTCTTGATATATCCAAATTAGTAGACCATATGCAACAATATCTCAGGTATTTTTTTCAGTCTCTTAGGGTAATGAGTGACTACCCTCACTATTTGTTTTTTTGTTTTTGTTTTTTAACTCATCCTCATGGGCTTTAGCTGCATCTTTCTGATGTCAGTTCCTATTATTTTAGAAGGTATGATAATGATTGGCTAAGGCTCTGCGTGATCCACCACTTTTCAATTTTTCTACACTTAGCATGAAAGTTATATTTATGATGTATGAAAAGTCTTTAACACTTTTTCTTTTAAGCCACTAAGACTTTTTTTCTATTAGGCCACCTGTTTCCATCAATTCCTATAGGAGTCATTTAAAGTAAAGTTTAATTAATCAGGCTGCTTGAATTTCTTGCAGCCATTTCACGTTTCTAGGGCAGATGCCCAAGATCTGATTAAGTAGCTGTTTCATTTCTATCAAAGAACAAGTGCTTACAAGCCAGGAGAACTAGTTATGGAATTGGCACAAAAGTGATTTCATTATTAACGTGGAGAAAATTACTATGACTGCACTGAAAAGGTAAGAAAAAGTGAATAGCCATTACCGCACGAACACAATAAAACAAAACATTTGAAGAGTTACTTGTAGAAACATCCTTATGGACCACTCTCAGATTGATACTAGATACAACACAATGGATTCTACTCCTTCTTTATGGCTACAATCATCCTGCTGTTCTACTAGACCAACAATTCAACAATGCAGCATTTATGCCCTAGTCCTAAAAGCATTTCTACTTAACCAAGGAATGTCTCAATTTCTCCCTTGCAATTTTAGTGTCCCTGCTATGCTGAAGACATTCTCCTGGATTAAACAAGGTTTCATTTCACTAACTAAATATCAAAGCACCTTAAGTTTTCTATCACAGAATACAAAGGGACAGTTTCCCATTAAACAATAATAACCTTAGAAAACTTTTTTCTAAACATAATCAAAACCTTTCAATTCAAGGAAAATAACTTTAATGAAAGAAAGCGCAGTGTTAACAATTCTATAGAAGCAAGAGTATGTTAGAATTGTCCAATCTTTTTTAGAATCAAGAACATTGCTGGTTGTTCTTTTCAAAAATAAACTGCATAATATAGCTGTCTTTGTGAACTGTCTCTCAAAAATCATTTCATATCAGAATAACCCTGCAGTACCGGGACATGTTACCAGTAGTGGGATTCATTTTTTTTTACTATCGGTTCTGGGGGTATGGCTTAATGGGCATGGCTTGATGGGGATGACAGGGGAAGAATCCTATAAAATCTCCATTCCTATCTCACCCCACTAACCTGTTTTCCAGCTCTGTTCTCATGTGTAGGGCAACAAAAGAAGACCCAGCCGATCAGCTGGGACTCGGAAGGCAGAGAATAGATGGGGGTGGGGCCAGTCAGAGGTGGTATTTGCTGGTTTTCCAAACTACTCAAAATTTCTGCTACCGTTCTCCAGAACTGGTCAGAACCTGCTGAATACCACCTCTGATGTTACAATGTGTCACCAGACATGCTAATACATGGAAAATTTTAAAAATTGAAAAAGAAGCTGGTAATCGCAGCAAGCCTCTCTATCGTACCTTCACATGGTAGGTTGGTGAGATATTTACAAAAACACAATAGTCTCAAGGTTTCAGCTCTTTTGAAACCGTCAAAAGCTCAGCCTCAACCAAAGAAACCTGTAGTCTAGAGATACAATTGTACTATATTTTGTGAATTTTACCAAGCATTTGATCATTCATATTGATGTTATGACTACATAAAAAACAAAACAATGTTACTCTTTATATCAAATTCTATTCCAGTTCAAATAAGGATTTGTACTCAAAGTTTGGAAACTGATTGCTTTGACAGTCACAAACTTCTATTAATTGATGTCCTTATTTGTATAAAAGAGTAATCTTCCCAACTATTCTTACAAGAATAGGAGGCTATTTTAAGTATTTATTGACCTGTCCCTCAAGCAAGTGCTTATTTATCTTTTGCCTATAAGAACTCTTATTGATGATATTAACATGACAGGCATGTGGCATAAGAGAACTGACCCATTTATTTTAGCCTCTAAGCAAAAGTAGAAAGTCATAAAGCTTTTGCAGTTCTGTAAAATAGAGCTCTGTAAATTATTTGTATTCTTCTCTGTAGCTTTTCTACAGAGCTTCTGTTAAAACGGAAGCCATTTTCTAACTTAAATGTTAATGGATACATAGGACCATATTCTCTATAGTGTTAACAAGTTTATAAGCAGGTAAAAGAGGATATTTTCCTTTTATTTTCAACCTGCTTTTCTCTGCATATATCCAGCTATGCAGTCTCTTCCTTTCCTTTCCATTTCATTATGTAAACTTTCTTTCAGTTGACCTATTAGACCAGGGCTGTCAAAGTTATGGCCTGCAGGCTGGATGTGTCATATGCTGGCAACGCACATGTCCAGTTTAGCGAAGGGGGAAAAAAGTCCCGATTTATCATGTGACACCTCCATGATGACATGAGTTTGACAACCCCATATTAGACTGTAAAGCAGGTATACTGTTCCCTTGGACAACAACAAAACAGAGACTGCTAACTGTGAAAGAGGATCATTTTTTTTTTTGTATTTTAGGGAACTTTTGTATTTTATATTTTAGGGAACTTTTGTATTTTTTTTTTTATATTTTTTTATATATTTTTTTATATTTTTTATATTTTTTTTATATTTTTTTGTATTTTAGGGAACAAAAATCTAAAGGATAATGAAAACTCCATCAAATGTTCTCTGTGTAAAAAATATCCAACCTTGAAAAAAAAGACACAACGCAAAAACCTGAACATCCAATAGCTACAAACCACATCTCTACCCAACAACCACAACCCAATCCAAAACCCAATCCACAAATAAACACAACCCAGACAAATATTGATATCCCAATCCTCATCAGAGAAGCCGTTGAGCGTGAACGGAAACGTCCAAACACCATCTTATTTGGTCTAGAGGACATCAATGACAATGATGACATCACAACTGTCCGAAACATCATCAGTGATTATCAAGCATCAACCATCTCCGCTGATGAAATACTTGACATTTCCCGCATTGGCCGAGAGCTCAAAAACAGAGACGGCTCTGTGGCCCCACGCTTGTGCAGGGTCAT